TGCCATACAAATAAGTAGGAATACACATGGCAATATCCAAACACAGCTATGCTTTTACTATTCAAATAACTAACAGTAAAGGGACAAGCACAGCCCTTTTTCTGCAAAGCCTGAATAAATGAGCTTTTGTGTAGGAAATTCAGAAGAGACTTGAAGGGAAATAAATTCTGCAGTTAATCATTCACCTTGGAGGGGAGTGACTGCCAAGCAGCTCTGCTGCCCGTTGTAAAGCCTTTCAGTTGTCGTAATTACTACACGGTGTTAGGCCCACGAGTCCGTACAGCTCTAGTTTTGCTGGTCATGTCCCTGGCTTGCACCATTTGACTGAATTTTCCCCAGTCCGGCCACATGGAGAAAGGCACTGAGGATTATCACACTACAGCACGTACGAATACCCTGTCCGTATCCCAGTTTGTACCTCTTCCTTTTTTCTCCTTCCCCACAGCCAGCTGTGTTCAATGCCCAGCAAGACATTTCCCTTTAGGATATTATCATGAACAAGCAAAGATTAGCTATGGAAGCTGTGTGCATGATAAGAACACTTTACAAGTGAATATTACCTCAGCAACATGAACTTAATTATTTTGATAACATTGGAAAGGTTATTTCTCCACTTTTGAAGAGGCAAGCTCTGTGTTTTTTTAAAAGGCAAAACTTACACCCATAATCAGAAAGCTTTTGGTCTGCTCTTCAATACAGTATATAAAAGGTTTATGGATTTCATCAAAACTGATTAGTTTATTGTCTAGACCACAAATTATTTTTCATAAGATTTCTTGTCATATCTGTGAGCCATTCTTGTAATGATGGATGAGACTGGTGCCTTAAAATCATCATTTTCTCTGTCAGCAGGGAAACCCACTGAACCCTGTCAGATGCAATATCACCTCCTCCCCTCTAGCCTTATAATGTAAGAGCATAATCCATTCTCACAGGGGTATACAGGAGTCCAGGATTGAACCTACACATAACTAAAGGATTTGGGGGAAGAATATGAAGTATACAGTTATTACAGGAGTTTCAAACTTTTGCTTGGATAAGCTGAAATTGCTACTAGAACATTGTACCAACCACAGGCTTCGACATTCAAATCAAAGCCGGTGATTTTGGTCCTTCTGAGGAACGGCA